TTATTTGTTTGCATTTTTCTGCGATTTCAGTCTTTTCTTAATATCTTCAGACTTCAGCAATCATCAAATTCCAGCAAAAGTTGAAGAAATCTGCAGAGAAGCATGGCAGTCTAAGCTTGTTTTTGAACGAACTCTAGCTGTTTCCTTTTTCTGAATTTGTTTGACGTAACAATCATAGATTCTCCTCTTTTCTATAAAGACCCAACTGGTTTCTGTTTTAAAAAAGAGGATCAGCGTGGTTAAAAAGACTATCATCTTTTGTATTCAGTCTACCAACCCCAATGGCCACGGTATATAAGCGATGGAATGATTCGGAAACTTGCAAATGTATATGCAAAAAAATCCAAGATTCAACTACGGAAATTACTTGCTCTTCGAGATTCCATATCTGCTCTTATTTGCCTATTCAGATGGAAGGATGTATGACTTCAACGATGAGGAGGACGATGCATTCAACACATTTTTCGCAGAGACTGCTGGAGGGAAGCACGTTCCAAGATGCCTATTCGTAGATCTTGAACCGACTGTTGTGGGTATGTTATTTGTCGAAATCTACTATTCAGATGTCACAGCAACCTGGCTTTAAAATTCACATATGGAAGGTCGATTGAGAAAGTATTGAAGGATAGCATTCGAGTACAACTGAGTCAATGATGGATTTTGTTAAGGATACGATAAAGGACATCATGAAAACAAAAATTTCTATAATTCGATTGTAGGTAGATTTAACCTCATTTTCAGATGAGGTACGCACTGGAACATATCGAGAACTGTTTCACCCCGAACAACTTCTCTCGGGTAAAGAAGATGCTGCAAATTGCTATGCAAGAGGGCGATATACTATAGGAAGGGAAATGATCGACGTAAGACGATATTCTGAAAGCTTATCTTTCGAAACCTTTGCTAACTAGCAACAGTGAAAGCCTAATATCTGTTATTCCTAGAACAAATAACTAAAAATACTGAAATTCAGGTGGTTATGGATCGGGTGAGACGTCTCACAGAAAGCTGCAAAGGATTACAAGGTAAAGCCAATTATTGTTGATTTAATGCCACGATTAGGTGTTTTTGCAAGCTGATTGGCTAGTGCGGATTGAAAATAAGACTTTGATCTTCGCCATATTCTAAAAAAAATGGAGTTATTTGGAACTGAAGATCTAAGAAGTAGATACACATCGATTAGAGGGACCTATTCTCATCATGAAGTAAATGATAATGTAATGGTAGCTTTTGTTTGATTTCGTATAGCGAGTCTTAGAACATGTTTGCTTTTGCAACACCTTCGCCCAAATTTCCTTCAGATTAACAGTATGCGCGACCATCTAGAAATCCTTATCATAGTGAGCCGCATCGCAACCTGCTTTTAACTCATTGATTTTAGAGTGGATTGAATAGCCACTTAAGAAGAAAATAAAATCTTCTTGGAAAGTGTATTGTCGATCTGACAAGGTGGTATAGTATTCTGCAAAAGATCAAAAC